TTTCTTTCCAGATGTGTTTTTCTTCACAAGAAAATTGTCTTTAATATTTTTATCCAAAATGGAAAGGTCTCTGGTTAACTAGTGGGAGACAAGGTTACCTATAACATTGCATAATCCAAAATCTTTTTTGTTTAAACAAAGGATTCACTTATCTCTTTGATTTTCCTCAAAAATAGAATTTTTCTTGCTTCATTTTTGAGTTTTATGGAAGTGATTTTTAAAGTGAAACCCCGTCTTTCCTTTTTAATAGGGCTGAATTATGCGGTTTGTGGTACGGGTGCATATGGACAGAACTTCCCATGCTGTACCATGAGTTAGTGTGGAGTAATCATGCTCCTTAGGATGTTGCAAGAGGCGTAGAAAGGCAGGGAAGGGATGCACACACACAGTCACACATCTTTAAAGTCCTTCATAAAAAATTGAATTAGGTTTATAGATTTGCTGATGCATTTTATAAAAAAAAATGGGGAAATGGTCTCTAAAGATGACATTAGATTAGGTTAGTCCATGGTATTGTGGTTTTCACGTTGTGAGGACATTGCGCGTGTTTTGTCGGCTCTAGTCATCTGAGGAGAATTACACACAAAGCCATAAGCAGTCAATTTGGCTCTGTTTTCTGAGCTGTCTGATGGGCCTATCTCATAGATTCTTTAGCTTGAAAACAAACCAGCCTGTGAGTCAGTGTTAGAAGTGTCCATCAGACTTCAAAGAGATGCTTCAGTTCAGCTCCCACCCTGTGATGTGCAACTTCAAGCAGTAGCGTGCTGTTAGTAACGAGAGGTGGAAATGTGGGCTCTGCAGGCGTGTGTGCACCCTGAGCCATGCCTCAGAGCCGTAAATGAGTCGCCAGGCGGGGGTTGGGGAAGAACCCCAGGGAGCTAAAGGAGACAGGGAAGCTGAAAGGAAGCCGGGGTTTCTGGGAAGGGGACAAACCGAAGGGGAGATTTCGCGAGCAGGTGATTCTGGCAGTCTTCCGGGGAGACATTTCTGCAAGTTTGTGCAGAAGGAAGTCTTAAGTTGAATTCAAGTTGAGAGAGAGAGAGTTGTAAGTGGAGATGAAACCTTGACATGACACGCTAGGATGAAAGATTATGCAGTTCAAAGGTGATTTAATGATGCCTCCTTAGTTGTGGTCTGGTCTCAACCCCAGCACCTCTCTAGACTCACTTGCTCAAAGTGGAGCCAGGTGCCCTTGCGGTAAACTCCCTGTTGGCTCTGTAGTTAATCTGCAGTAGCTGGACCACAATGCTGCAAAACTGGTCTAATTACCGGTTTCAGTGATCATTTATATCCTATGGGGGCAGAGGGGAAAACGTATCTCATCTTGCTTACAGCTGTGTGCTTGGTGCCTACCAATCACGGTGTATTACTAAGGAGTTTTCGATTAACAGCCGCTAATTACATGATTGAATGATTAGACAAGCGCTGATGACATAGTCAGAACTTTTCCTCGGTGATCTGGGCATGATTAACTTTAGGAACTGGAGATCTGCCCCTCAAATGGATCCATCACCACCAACCATTTTAAGAGTGATCTTAATAAAATAGCTGTAAACCTTGAAAGTGTCACTTTCAAAATCAAATTAATGCTACAAGCTATATAATATATTTAAAAAATAAACTCTACACTGATGCTGGCGAGGGAGTGCTTACTGAGTGGCCGTTTATCAAAACACGATGAGCTGGATGTGGCGGTGCATGCCCATAGTCCCAGCCACATGAGAGGCTGAAATGAAGGTCTCTTAAGCCCAGGAGTTCACGGTCTCTCGCCCTTTCTCCCTCGCTTCTTCCCCCTCCCCTTCCCCTTTCCCTTTTTCTCTCTCCCCCCTCTCTGTGATATTACATGATATAATGTATGCTAAATATATAAGTAACTAAACTGAAACTTCCTGTGGAATCGTGTGAATTGGATGCATATTGTGCTCGTACCTATTAACCTGACCCTCACTGCAGTATTGAATAACAGAGACATCCTTTTAAGAAGCATCTTACATTGTCTTAAATTGTCTCATCTTTGTTAGCCTGAAGCAACGTGTTCTTTTCCGTATCACTAACTTTTTACACCCAAGTAAAATTTTAATTGAAGCCCAGCTTTTACGAATGAGGTGAGGAGCGTCATGAAATGCTTCTCTGGGTCAGAAGCTTCGTTCCTGTCAGATTCTGATATGAATCTCTCCACGCCTGTGGTTACAGCTTCCATGGTTTCAATGACTTGAAATCATTGAAGGTTCTAGTGTTCCTGACTCATTCCCAGGAGAATAATACGTTCACGTGTGTTTTAGTGCTGCACAATGGTTCTGTTTTGTTGCTAGTCACCAACACTCTCTTAAGTGTCTGATTTGTAAAATAATTGTCACGGATATGTATCTAAGGACAAACATAGCATATGCAGGGTCAGCTCTGTTCTGCTTTCACCCACGTGGGCAGGCGTGTGGCTTCAGTCTCTTCACAAGAAGCATGAAATTTCAAATGTGAACTTAGACTGGAAAACAAAACAAACTGAGGTGAATGGGGAAGGGTAGGACGTTGTCTCTTAGTTCTCAGGACTCCTGGGTGATTGGCCTGATTCCTTTCCATTTCTCCTGTTTTCGCTTCGTCAGTTCTGAAGAGGTGACAAGAGGCAAGGACAGGTTTCTGTCTGAGTGGTTTGTCTCCCTGTGCCTGTGTGAGGCAGTCTGCTTGTAGACTTCCTATTTGGAAAGGAAGGGGCTTCCCTCCCCACCTGTGACCTTCCCCTTTGCTGCCAAGCTAAGGATGGAGGAAATGCCGGCCTGAGAAAGGGCTGACAGAAACCGGAAACCATGCAGCCTGGGCAGACAGAACAGCTAGAGCTCTAGCTACCGTGGGCCAGGGAGGGTTTCTCTCCTCCTCTCTCCTACCTGTAGAGACCAGTCCCATCTCTTGTTTCAGTGCTGATTCTTCAGAAACTGGACGAGGTAGGCAGAGTGGGTCACCGTGTTACTAGTCTAATAGTCTCACAAGAAGCCCTCCCGCGATGACGATCCCAGCTGTGTTAAGCTGGATGGAGTTGGTCAGCCCCACCTTCTTGAGGCTCTTCACAAAGCATCAGCCCTGTAGCCTCTTCCTACCCTGACCCCTCTGGAGCAAGTGCACAGGACTGCTCTGTCTTTCCCCAGCTCAGTTCCTGTTCATCTGCTCCCCACATCTGTATGCCATCGCTGTGTTCTCAGGCTGGTCAGTTTCTACCGCTCCTTATGACGTCACAGAAATCTCACTTCCTCTGTCTAGTCGCTGCCCCCACCCGTCAGAATTTGACCGCTTTTGGATTCTGCGTTCTACCACATCCCTTACTGTGTGTGTATATCCTTTTTCATTGTCAGAAGCACGTCATTGTCAGGATCCTGAGGCGTATAGTTGTTTCAAAGACAGAACTGCTAAGTCATAAAATAGCTCCTGTGCATGTGTATTAGTATGTACACCCATAGACCTAGATCTCATATAGCCTTAGATGAAAAGGGTCTGTGAAGGAGGTGTGAGCATCACCTCTCTAAGAATCAGAGTGTCATGATTTGTAATATTTCTTCAAGCAGCTTTATACTTTCTTCTTATGGTCTGTAATAAGAGAATAATCTGAGGTATAAATACAGGTAATATATGTCATAGTATATATTGACATATATGTCGTAGTATATATTATCACTGTAGCATTTATTGCAGTCATTATTTGCATGATCTAATTTAGATCATTATATTTACATTTAATTTCATTTATTATATTTTAATCAGGATGTTGGGAAAATGCTCTTTGCTGTGGTTTTATGGCTTAAATGATCAGATTTCTATTGATGTCCTTTACATTCTAAGAAGGGCCTAGGGCCCAGCAGTTTTGTTGAAAAGTGAGGCTTACACTGTGCTTTGGTAACACCATCTGGGAGACTTGACAGGCTCAATTGTTCGTAGCAGAAATGGTGGGATGGGGGTGTTGGTGAGGTTCAAAGAAGAAGGTGCTGTGTTGGTGCTGCCAAGGGCTCGGGAGGTCAGGGTTATGTTGGTAAGGGGTGTGGAAGGGGGGATTTCAACAGACAGCTTTGAGATTGTAGCCCCTCATTTACAGCACTGGAAGGGCTGGGTAAGACTGATGGAAATGCAGAAAGAACAAAACAAAATGAGAATATCAGAGCACACTGGGCACAGCAAACCCTGAGAGAAGGGCATCTCACTCTAATAGCATGGGGATTAGCTCTGAGTCACCTATTCATTAACAGTCCTTAGGCCTTTACGAGAGACCAGTTGGCACACAGAGGCCAAGCCTGGAATTAGACAACTAACTGAGCGGTGTTTTTCTCTCTCTCCTTACATTTTCTCCTCAGTTTTTAAAACAGTGAGAGCTAAGCCAAAAGCGAACACAGGGAAGCCTAATTCTCGACTCTAGTAGACTCCAAATGCATAGTCTAGTCCGGATGCGTAGCCTACTCCGGACGCATAGTCTAGTCCGGATGCATAGCCTACTCCGGATGCAGAGCCTACTCCGGATGCATAGCTTACTCCAGACCTGTAGCCTACTCCAGACGATGCATAGCCTATTCCAGATGCATAGCCTAGTCTAGATGCATAACCTAGTCTATGTTTCAGTCTGAGGAGGAAAATTGTCTCCTGAAACCAAGAAAACTTTTGAGCCCTGGTCTGCAGGGAGGGATGGTAGAGAGGAGCACTGTGGTTCTCACTAGTGTTTTGTTTACTCTCTAGACGTTTTGAGGTTTCAGAACATCAGCAAGTCTTACAGACCTGTGGGTGCCCATATAGTAGTCGGTGGTTCTCATTTCCTTGAATAAATTAATACGTTCTACATCTCTTTGAAAATGCTCCTTCCCAGCATGCATTGTGTGTGGCAGGCCTTCCTAGGTTGTTTCTGAGCAGAGATTCAGAGGGGATGGCCACACTATACCGAGTGTGGAATTGGGCTGTGTAATCCCCAACCCAGCATGGAGCAATCCCAGGCATGGAGTCTCCCCTTCTCATCCAGCTTTCTCTGCTTGCAGGTGCACGCACTGTGACCAACGCAACGACGAAGTGGATTTCCTTTGTGTTTAAAGAGAGAAGAAGAAAAATGTCCCTGTGTCTGTAGAGATGATTTGCAGTTCAGCCCGGCTGAAGCTGACCGAATGAGACTATGGGCTGTGCCTCTGCCAAGCATGTTGCTACTGTTCAAAATGAAGAGGAGGCTCAGAAAGGGAAGAACTACCAGAACGGAGATGTGTTTGGCGGTGAGTGCTCGCACACTTTGCTCTTGGCCTGGCAGTCCCAGGCCTTTCACTTTGGTGGCAGTGAGTAACCTGACTGATTCTTGTCTTCCGCCATTGGGTCAAAGTGGTGGCGAGACTTGAGTGAAATCATTGCAGGTCTTTTTTTTTTCCTATTGTCGGTTTATATTATCATGTGTACTTAGGGAGCTCGGGGAGGGAGGATCACAGAAGTGTTTATACAAGAGTTCACATTCAACCTAAAGAACCGAAGAGGTTTAGTCAGTTTCCATCAGGCAGTGCCGTGTGTGTTCTGGTTGGTGGGTGACAACTGAAAATACAAGCTGGGAGTGGAGTGAGTGGAGGCTTGTAAATGAGAATGTGGGTGTGTTGTAGGGTTAGTAGCGTGAATCCATATTAAAACATATAACGAAGAGTAGTTACTGTGTTCCTAGTACAAAAGTCACACAAATCACAGTTTTGTGGCCTCTTCTCTTCCCCTCCTCCCCCCAAAAAAAGCAGCCTTTAAAAGTGAATATGCTCCACATAGAAACTCAGCTTCCAGAAGCTCTGGGAGTCTGGGTCTTCATTACTTGGGGGGACCAGTGGAGTAAGGTGGTGTTTGCCGCTGCTTCAGTAGCCATAGCCTGTGGACTCTGGACCCACAGACTCTTCCCCGTCCATATGCACCAAGCCTAGGTCACTCTGTGGCGTTCATTACCTGCCTGACTACTTACTGGATTTTGAGCTTCTTGACCTTGGGTTTGTCTTTTGAAAAATCAATTTCTGCTCCGATGGAATGTGAATACTTATATACAATTCAAGCTAGTACAGGGCATCTTTAACAGCTTTCGTAAATGACTTCAATAGTAATATCTACTAACTGAAAATATAAATAAAAACAGTTCTTTTATTTATAAAATCTCTGGCTGGAAAAGTACTCTTACTGAGAAATGTCTCATCCCCCAGTCACTCTCAAATGATGCTGTCAACTTGGACAACAGTTTTGTGTGTGTGTGTGTGTGTGTGTGTGTGTGTGTGTGTATGCACGCACACACACAAGCATGCAGATGAGTACATGTGTATAACCCAGAGGACAACCTTGGATTATTTATCCTCAAACATAGTCTACCTTGTTTTTTTGAGACAGGATCTCTTTGACTGGACAAGACCCAGGGACCCGGCTCCTCTCCATCTTTCCAGTGTTGGGGTTACACTGGCCTCTTTGTATGAGTTCTGGGGAACAGACTCAGATCTTTGTCATATAAAGCAAGCTCTAAACTGACTGAACCGTCTCCCAGCCCTGGAATTTGAGCCATTGTAATGATTGTTCTGGAGCTGGAATTTCTACTGTTCTATTAGAATGTATCCTCATGAATGAGAAGTTCTGTTCCTGTGACAGATTTGCCTCTTGTGGTGACTATCTGGAGGATTTAAAAATGTAAGGGAGTAATGGATATTTGAGCATCTTAACAAAGCCAGACACCGGCTCACTGAAACTGCAGCTACTGGGAAAGCAGCTAATTGTAACTGGAGTCATTATTGTGACCCTTCACTGCTAAGAGAAAATGATCCACCATCAGGATTTGTTTAATCTAGCCTCTGGGTGATGGTCTGTCATGATCAGTTTTGTAAGGGAGCTACCTCAGATGGAGCTGCCACCATATGTCAACACCGGGAGGCATTTGCATTCATTTTCGTGTTGAATTTTCACAACAATCCTGTGAAATATGTGCTGTCTCAATTTGCATATGTAGAGGCTGAATCACAAAAAGCTGACTGCTTCAAAGCCGACTGGCTATTCAGCATCAGCATCCGCATCCCTCGGGCCCTGGGTCACCTCTTCATCCCTTGCCTTTCCCTAGTGTATGGCTGCTTCCCATCGCTGTCTACTGTTTAAGGCCTTTTGCTAAAGCATCATGGAGATTACAGAGGTAAATATCCCACAGATCTTGCTGTTTTCTACTTTGTGAGAGGATAGGGAAGTGTTGTGAGGCAGAATAAGTCAAATATCAGAAGATACCTGTCATGGTAAGACTCAGGCATGGACTGTCTTAACTTTAAAGGCAGAATCAGGATGAATTCCTTGCAGAAGTGGCATGCAAACCTGGCCTGGAAGAATCTAAACTTGCCGGGTAAGAGTTCAGGAGAGAACTAGATGAGAAAAGGTTGGAGGTAGTGGCAGACATACTCTAGAGTTTTGAAGACTCCAGTTTGAATGGAGAATAAAATGCAGGTGAAGAAATCCAAGTCAAGGTTAAATTATAGGAAAAATAATATCAAATAACAGTCTTTAGAAATAAAATCTTAGACTGCAAGGACAAAATTTTGTGATGTCAGTATAGAGTATTTATATTCTGTGCCGCCTAGCCATCGTTTTCCTTGTTGAGTTGCAGCTTGCACATGCATGAAGACTGTGTTTCTCTAGTGTACCGAGTGCGTTTCTCAGAAGTTAGCATTTGCTCGCCAGCTGTTGCTGGGTAGACTCTCAGCCTCAGGGTTGTGCAGCAGCCTGTGCTTGGCTTTGCTTGCTGGGTCAGCTGGGATGCTGCTCTACTCATCTCTCATCTTCCTGGTTCTACACACCTTGAGCCACTGAAGGCAAACCACCCTTCTAAGAACAAGAGTATGAACCACACATAACTGGGTCCTAAGGATAGATAGGCATGTACGCCACATTTCACGAGCCAAAGCAGGTGACAAGCCCAAAGTAAAGACGGGCAAAAGGACATGCCTGACCACACTGCAAGCATGCAAGGATATGCATGTAATGAGCAGTTAGAATTTGGGTAATGAGATTGTCCCAGGTCTGCCTAGTCCTCAATGGCTCTATGCGTCCTTGTGGTCCAAATATAGGAAGTGTAGTTAAAGACTCTGCTGAGGTGGCCTTTGTTTCTTTCTTTGTTGTTTTCTAATCTTCCTAATACTCATTGAAATTTTATTTTCCCCCGTATTTACTATCTTGTTAGGTTTTTGTTTTGTTTTGTTTTGTTTTTGGATTTTTCGAGACAGGGTTTCTCCGTAGCTTTTGGTTCCTGTCCTGGAACTAGCTCTTGTAGACCAGGCTGGCCTCAAACTCACAGAGATCCGCCTGCCTCTGCCTCCCGAGTGCTGGGATTAAAGGCGTGCGCCACCACCGCGCAGCTTAGTTTTTTGGGTTTTTTTTTTT